TTTTGCAAGACAACATACAATCTAATCATCAAAAAACATAGACTCTGTCACAAACCAAACAATTTTTTTTTTCTCATCATGTCATTGAAATAGAGTGTAAAAAATACAATCACATTTTGCTCATAATAATAATAATAGCAATGAAGTCAATTGGTAATTAAAAAGCACAAATTTTTATTTTTTTTTCCAAAAAAACATAGTAAGTTAAAAACCCAATAACAAATTAAGTTAATTGATAGTTAAAAAGTACAATAATTTTTTTTCCCAAAAAACATAGTGAGTTAAAAATACAATCACAAATTAAGTTAATTGATAGTTAAAAAATACAATCTTTCCCAATCACAAATTAAGTCAACTAATATTTAAAAACACAATCATTTTTTTTTCCAAAAAATACATTGAGTTAACAAACCCAATTACAATTTGTTTTTTTGGGTAGACAAAATACAATCTAATTATCATCAATAGTAGGTACTTTATGTGAACCTAATTAAATGATCCAAAAAAACACAGAGATTGTTATAACCCAAACAATTTTTTTTTCTCATCATGTGATTGAAATGGAATGTAAAAAATCCAGTCAATTGATAGTTAAAAACACAATCGCAAATACAATGAGTTAAAAACTCAATTAGAAATTAATTATAAATTTTTTAAATTGATATTTAAAAAACACAATCAATTTTTTTTTTTTAAATACAGTGAGTTAAAAAAACCCAAATAGTTTGAAAATACAATCACCGTGTAGAAAAATAAATAAAAAAATTACTTGCAGAATTTGAAAATTGTGTTGGAATCAAGATTGCAATTGTGAATTTTTGTTCATAATAATAAATAAATAAATAAATAAGCAATGAAGTCAATTGGTAATTAAAAAACACAAATTTTTTTTTCTTCAAAAAACATAGTGAGCTAAAAACGAAATCACAAATCAAGTCAATTGATAATTAAAAAATACTATAAAAAATACTATCATTCCCAATCACAAATTAAGTCAACTGATACTTAAAAAACACAATTATTTTTTCTTTCAAAAAATACAGTGAGTTAAAAAACCCAATTACTAATTTGTTTTGGTAGATAAAATACAATCTAATTATCATCAATAGTGGATACTTTATATAAACCTAATGAATACAATCCATTAAGTGATCGAAAAAAACAAAGAGATTGTTACAATCCAAACATTTTTTTTTTTCTGTAACGCCCTCAAAATAATACATATAAACCCACCATTCATGATATTAATAGATAAGAGAATAAAACATATTTCCATATATCAGAGTATTTTTACAAAAATTAATACATGTTGACAACAAAAATAAATGCCCTGTAGGCTTACAACTTTCTAAGTCAACACTTGGTTACACATAAGAAGAGTTCTAACTCTTTACAAAAATAAGCCCTAGGCTTGCATTTACATGTATCACCAAAAATAACAAAATAAACAAAAGAGTCTTCAACTCTCAGGACCTTCCTAGCTACGTCCTTGGAGGTGACATAACACCTGAACCTGAAAATGATGTCCTATATAGGGTGAGCCAACGCCCAGTAGAGATATGCTAAACATAATATGAGCAATGACTAAAATATCAGCATTTGATAAAATGTTCAACTCATATAAACCAACTTATGACATATTACAGTTCCATGACAAATATGTCTATGTTTCATTTCACTTTCCTTTACTTAACCAATTCAATTCATAAACATGGCTCAGAACCTGGTCAAACAATTCAATGAGACTATAACTCATATTAAAACACTTACATACTTCACAATTCACATGAGACTGCAACTCATATTAAAACACTTCCAATACTTCAATTAATAATACACATATTTGCTGTATTACTGAAGTCCATCCCCTATCTCCTCCCAAACAGATTTGGGATTCCATCCCCTATCGCCTCTCAAACCATGGAGTACATCACATATCTTCTCCCAAACCATGGAGTACATCTTCTATCTTCTCCCAAACAATATATATATACAATGTATTAAACACTTATCATATAAAATGATCAAGCAAGCACATATTCAATGTGTTATTTCATCCGTCATACTCAGTGACATAATCAACTGATTAGTTTTAATTCACCTAATCATCATGCAGTGTCTACAACAATCAAGACTATCCTTTACCGATAGCCCAATGCAATTATTTCTAAATAGATAATAAATGCATCAACAGATAAATTATCAACATTTTCAAAAGTGAGTGGTCCAACTCCATCATTCATTTTCATAACTTCTCAATTTCATTATTTTCAACTCAATTTCATCTTTTCATAACTTTCCCAAATTAATTATACAAATTAATTCATAACAATAAATTAGGGCCTTTCTCCCCCTTTTTCTCAACATTGACCCAAAGGCTCAAGTAATCAACTATAAACATCAAGAACCTCTTTTAAGACCCTAAATACACATATTTTGGTCAAAAGAACAAAACCCCTCTTTTCAATAATTCAAATCTCAAACCCTAACTTCTCCAAATCAAACCATTTATACAAAATGCCCAATATTTTTGTTAAAGCTCATAAAAATGAGTAGTTATCCCTACCTCAAATGGAGAGACCAAATGGAGATGATGATGAAACTCGAAATACTCCAAACCCAAAGATTTTCGGATTGAAATGTAGCCCACACCAAGCTCTACACTTTATGCAAAGGAACTATGGTAGAAGATCACTCAAACTAGATGATTTCTTACAGAGAAGTTGTAGTCTAGAGTGAGAAGCTCTCAAGTTTGGGTTTTGAAAAGTTAGAGAGAGAGAATGGCCCGAAAAAGTGATCCAAAAAGCTATTTTTCGGACTGATATACAAACTGGTCCGCTCAAGCATGGAACTCCCCGCTCGAGCGTCAGACACAGACTCACGCTCGAGCATGAAAAACGCCGCTCGAGCGTCAAATGCACACTATCAGAAGTTTTGCAGACGAAGGTCCCTGCTCCAGCGTGAAAGTGGACGCGCGAGCGTCCGATGACCTGCAGAACAAAATACTGAGAGATGAAAAATCCTGCTCGAGCGTCAAACTCCCCGCTCGAGCGGAGAAACAAAAGCAAAGGTCCCGCACAAGCGTCAAAAGCCTCGCTCGAGCGTGAAGGCCAAAATCTGGGCATTAACCCTTGGTTTCCAAACACAACCAACCTGTTTCAAACCTGCCCAACACAACCCAAGACTCAAATACAAAGAGTAAAGGGCGAAAACAGGAATAAGACAACAACACATCTACGGAACCGAGTCCGGAATACAATAAATAAAGAAGGGAAAATCGGGATCGCTATATTTTCTCATCTTGTGATTGAAATGGAGTATAAAAAACACAATTATTAAAAAAATAAAATCACCGTGTGATCAAAACGGAGTGTAAAAAAACACAATTATATTTTTGCTCATAATAAAAAAAATAAAAAAAATGAAGCAATGAAGTCAATTGGTTCAAAAAAATAGTGAATTAAAAACCTAATCACAAATTAAGTTAATTGATAGTTGAAAAGCACAATTTTTTTTTTTTAAAAAAAATACAGTGAGTTAAAAAACCTAATTATAAATTTTTTCTTTTTTGCTAGACAAAATAGAATCCAATCATCATCAATAGTGGCTACTTTATGTAAACCGAATGAATATAATCTATTTTTTTGTTAAAAAAACATAGATTAAATGGTGTAAAAAAACACAATCATTTAAAAAAATAAAATCACCATGCGATCAAAACGGAGTGTAAAAAAACACAATCACATTTTTGCTTATAATAAAGAAATAAAGTAATGAAATCAATTTGTAATTAAAAAATACAATTTTTTTATGAAAAAATATAGTGAGTTAAAAACCCAATCACAAATTAAATTAATTAATAGTTAAAAAGCACAACTATTTTTTCTTCAAAATACGCAGTGAGTTATAAAACACAATCTAATCATCATCATCAATAGTTGGTACTTTAATGTGAACCTAGAGAATACAATCAATTTTTTTTTAAAAAAAAAACATAAATTAAAAATACAATAACAGTGTGATTGTATTTAAAAAATTTGAATACAACTATTTTTTTCTTCAAAAAACACAGATTAAATGGAGTGTAAAAAAACACAATCATTTAAAAAAATAAAATCACTGTGTAATAAAAAAGGAGTGCAAAAAAACACAATCACATTTTTGCTCATTAAAAAAAAAACCAATGAAGTCAATTGGTAATTAAAAAATATAATTATCTTTTTTTTCAAAAAACATACTCAGTTAAAAACTCAATCACAAATTAAGTTAATTGATAGTTAAAAAGCACAACCATTTTTTTTTTCTTCAAAAAATACAATGAGTTAAAAAAATCAATTACAAAATACAGTCTAATTATCATCAATGGTGGGTATTTTATATAAACCTAATGAATACAATCCAAATTTTTTTTTTTCAAAAAGCATAGATTAAAAATACAATCATCATGTGATTGTATTAAAAAAAAATGAATACAATCTATTTTTTTTCTTCAAAATACATAGATTAAATGGAGTGTGAAAAAATACAATCATTGAAAAAAATAAAATTATCGTGTGATCAAAACGGAGTATAAAAAAAATACAATCACATTTTTGCTCAATAAAAGAAAAAGAAAAAAAAAGAAGCAATGAAGTCAATTGGTAATTAAAAAATATAATTATATGCATGTTCTGCATTCGGAAATACGGTGGGCATTGCCTCAAGCAAACCAAGGTTCCGATCCGATACGAATGTTAGAGGTCTGTCACCATGAACCACCTGCGCGAGATGATGAAGAAACCAAGACCAGTTTGAGGTGTTTTCGGAATCCACCACCGCATATGATAGCGGGAACAAACCTGCAGATTTGGAAAATTTTGTAGAACTAAGTATGTACTGCATGCAAAGGTTATGACAGAAACATAGCGCCTGGGGTTAATGACCACGTTAAAATGTAGTTTACAGGTGGTGTGGTTGGTTGTCATGTGAATGGGGTAGTGTGATTGTTTAAATTGAAGGAACTAACCTTGGTTGCCGTCTTTTGCAGTGGCCGCAAGTAGAAAACCTTTGAAGCGGCCTTTGAGGAACGTGGCGTCTAGGAAAAGCAAAGGGCGGCAATGGTGGAACCCGTCGATGCATGCTTTGAATGAAATGAAATAGCGTCTGAACTGTTGGGTGTGATCATCGTATTCGATGTTAATGTAGGTCCCGGGGTTGTGTTCCAATACTGCGTTGCTATACCAACGTAACTGGTCAAACGAAATGGAATGCGCACCGAACAATTCTCCCCTCGCTTTTTCAACACCGAGCCAGGCCACCCGGTAACTTATATCGAGCCCGTAATCTTGTTTCAAGTCCAATATCACTTCGGTCGGATGGGTTAAAGGTCTATCACGCACACGTTCAGATACAATGTCGGCCACAAGATCAGACCCAACAAGTGGGTGTGTGGACGTACGCACAGCCACGCCACAAATGTGTTCACTGTTCCATTTTCGTAAGTAGAAAAATCCGTTTGCCTCCAATTTCCGTCCGTGCACAGACCACGTGCAACACTTCGATTCGTTCATAGCACATATAGTCGTTACCCGAACGGAGTCGTTCTTCAGAAATTTGATCTGGAACCCACATTCAACGGCGTATTTCCGCAGTACATTGCGAAATTCAGAAGCCCCACCTTCGAAATGTTGTCCAATGTGGGTAAAACCTTTTGCCCATGGAGCGGAAAGGAAGACTTTCTCCTTGTGGGGACAAAATGATTGCAGCAGGTCGGTTTCATCATCCATTCCGAAATCATTACGTAGTGCATCCCCCGTTGTGCCTTGATCTTGGATTATCATTGGGTCAATGGCAGGAATGTTATCATCCCGACGAGTATGCTGTTCAATGACCACGTCAATTAACTGCAACTGGAACGAGCGCGCAAGGCAAACCATATTCTTCAGATCGACATCATTCTGTAAGGAGAAGTTGTTATAGCCGGGAATCTTATAGAACAACTGGAAATTCCCCGGCAGGAGTCCGGAAAACTTCGAACAAACATAATCGACAATCTCAGCAAATGTATTTGACGATTGCAGATTATATGCGACATTCGTGGACCGGTAAGAACAAAGAAGCATCAAAAGGGCGTCCATCTGCATAACGGCACAGGTATCAGTAAGAAATAACACACGACAGAATTGCAACTACAATGGGAATTGTGCATCGTTGTCAATGTGTGGTTGCAAGTGCATAGCGAACGGGAATACATGGAATTGGCTATTGTGTTGGTGAAGTCTAATGTTTATCTGTAAACATTAACGTGCAAGTGTGTTCCACAACATGTACGAAGTTGTGCATAGGTGAGGGGGTGATTACTTAAGTGTGGGTATGGTGAGTGAGGGATCCATAACGGAAAATGAAGAGATTACCTGTATGATATGACGGTCGGTGTGAACGTAAGCGGCTGACTTTGTAAGGCGCAGAGACGATTATGAACTCAGAATGCAAACCCTAAGTATAATACCTCTTAAATGAATTTTGACCCACAGTCAGGTTCCACAATTGCTGGGATTGCGCATACAAATATGGAAAACAGAACATCCCATATATTAGCTGAGGCCATATCCGTCCAGGCCAGACAAAAAATTTTTAAAAAAGGACTTATGGGTAAGGAATCCCACCTAATATGGAGTTTTCAATCAAAGAAAAAATCAGCAGGACCAACTGGAACACAATTCACCCATAAAGGACTTTCCGATAAATTTCCCTTAATTAATAGTTAAAAAGAACAATAATTTTTTTTAAAAAAAATATAGTGAGTTAAAAAATCCAATTACAAAATACAATCTAATCATCATCATCAATAGTGAGTACTTTATGTGAACCTAATGAATAATATCCAATTTTTTTGTCAAAAAACATTGATTAAAAATGCAATCACCATATTGAAAAATAAATTAAGTCCAATCACAATCATAAAATATAATCCAATCATCATCAACAGTTGATACTTTATGTGAACTTAATGAAAACAATCATTCTAAATCAATTTAAAAAATTAATCACCGTATTAAAAAACAAATGAAAAATTTACTTACAGATTTTGAAATCTTTTTCTTCCAATATTCTGTCTTACTCTCTCTCTCCCAAACTTTATGTTTAGGCTGATGCGTAAGGCTGCTGTGTATAATATGATAGGGTTTAGGTTAATAGGTAGCCGTGGGTAATAGGGCAATATGATATAGGGTATATGATAGTCAAATTAAATGGTCGGTTAGGGCGGGAATTTTTTTTTTTCAAATCAGAAAATTAAGAAATTAAGATTGGATATTGGAGCTCTCACAAGGTTTATAGGTTAGAAAGACCATTTTCCTTATATAATACTAACATATCACCTGTGTTATGCATGTGATTGAATTTTAAAAAATTATTTATGATTATGTTAAACATATTTTTAAATTGTTAGAATATAATATACGTAATTTTAAAAGAAAATGTTAACATTGCATAATTAAAATAAGGGATAATTACATTTTATCCCCATGTGGTTTCACGCGTTTTCACATTATCTCCTTGATGTTGATAAATGTACTCATAAACTCTCTGTAGTTTTGACTAAAGTGCAAAAGTGACAGGATACGACAAAATCATTGAAAAGACTAAAATACCCTTATTTTTTTCTTCAATTTTCTTATGAATGCCATTTTACTCCCTTTTTCCTGGCAGTTGAACTCTCTTTCTCTTTCTTTTTCTCTATGTGCATATATATATATATATATACATATATATTATATAGCTATGAAATGCCTCTCCTCACCAAAGCCTTTCCTTAGTAAGTCCTTGGTTGAACCCAATTCAAGGTCTGGTTCATGCCCATTATTGGCATTTGGGTTTGTCATTGAATTGGTGACTTGTTGATCAATTTTCCTAGTGCCCAAACAACTGAGTTTCTTCCAATTGGTGACTTGGTGAGTCTTCTCTTCCACCACAATAAATAGTAAAGCTCTCCAACAAGGGCAAAGAGGATGCACCCAAAAAAAAAAAAAAAATCAATAATCTTGGTTCAAATCTGCTAAAGAATCTCCAAAAACCCTCAATTTATATCAGTAATCAACACTAAACTAATACTCAAAGAGACAATCAAACAAACAAGTCATGAACAATCTCATTGTCTGCTATGAAAATTAGAGACCTAAAGCTCCAAGAATCAGAACAACCATAGAAACTTTGCTGAAATTTTTATTTAAGAATGGTTTTTTGGCTTTGGTTTTAGCTAAGGTCTTGTGATATTCACTGATGAAGGGGAACAAGTTGAAATTATTGACCTTGAAGACTCTTAGTTTTGTAGGAATCTTTCCTCTTTATCAAGTTGTCTTTTGCTTTAAGTTTTATTTTTATGCATACTGCATTACTAAAAATTGTTAAAATAATATTTTTTACGAACGTATCCCCGCCGTACCTGTATCCTAGTTTTTCAAATTTTATCGTATCGCCGTATCGTATCGTATCCGTATCCGTATCCCGTATCCGTGCTTCCTAGTTTGTCACTGAATTGGTGACTTGTTGATCAATTTTCCTAGTGCCCAAACAACTGAGTTTCTTCCAATTGGTGACTTGGTGAGTCTTCTCTTCCACCACAATAAATAGTAAAGCTCTCCAACAAGGGCAAAGAGGATGCACCCAAAAAAAAAACAATAATCTTGGTTCAAATCTGCTAAAGAATCTCCAAAAACCCTCAATTTATATCAGTAACCAACACTAAACTAATACTCAAAGAGACAATCAAACAAACAAGTCATGAACAATCTCATTGTCTGCTATGAAAATTAGAGACCTAAAGCTCCAAGAATCAGAACAACCATAGAAACAGAGAACCGAAGGTTTATTTCGAGAGAAATTGCTATGATAACCCAATTTTCCAAGAAAATCCAAGAGGATCCTCTTTCTTGAACACACCTCAAAGTAAAAAGAAAATGGCTAAAAGATTCGAATTAAGTAGAAAAATCACAAAAACCATAAAGGCCTATCTCCTAAATTCTTCCTATGATCTGACACTTGTTTGATATAAAAATCACACAACCCAAAATAACCCACTTCTCTACATCACACTATAGAGAGACCAAAAGTCATGAGTCCTCAAGATAAAGGGCTTTTGTTGCCTAAAACATATGTTGCAAGAGAAAAAAGAAACTTTGTGTATCTGTTGTAATCTCTTCTCATTGAGGTGAGAATGAGAGTGAGAGTGTGCTTGTAAGGTGGTGCTTCTGAGTCATCATCTTTGGTCATTTGTTTTCTTGATTTTGGAACATATGAAGAGAGAGAGAGAGAGAGAGAGAGAGAGAGTGTTAGTAAATTGAATCTGTATGATTGTTTCTAAAAGAGCTATTCATCAAGCTTGGGTGGGATCCATCGGTGGGTAGGTCGCCGTTTTGTTGCTGGACTGTCAGTGTTGTTGCTATAGTGTTGATAACAAGGTGTGTGATGGTTGGACGACCCATGGGGATCGGGGGAAGAAAGTAAAAGGGCAAATTGGTCTCTTAACACTCTAAATTTGGAGTCAAAATCCTTAATTTCAGTGCAGACACGTTTTCCTGGCGCGTTTGCTCCACGCACTGTTAAATTTATCAGATTTCACTACTTTTTCACTTTAGTCAAAACCACAAGGAGTTTATGAGTACATTTGTCAATGTCAAGAAGGTAATGTGAAAATGCTTGAAACCACAGGGGTAAAATATAATTATCCCTTAAAGTAATAAAAATAATAATTTATTACATTTGTTCGGAATTCACTGAATAAAGAAAACAAAGTAAAACTAAAACCTAAATTGTTGTGGGTTTTCCATCAGTATTCCTGCATTGTCAACATGATAGTTAGTATTATAATTTATTACAATTATTATTTTTTTTCTCCAAAAAGTATAGTGAGTTAAAAGCCCAATCACAAATTAAGCTAATTAATAGTTAAAAAACACAACCATTTTTTAAAAAAAAATACAATGAGTTAGAAAACCTAATCAAAAAATATAATTTAATCATCATCATCAATAGTGCGTAGTTTATGTGAATCTAATGAATACAATCTAATTTTTTTTTTCTTTAAAAAAACATAGGTTAGAAAAACAATCACTATATTGAAAAATAAATTAAGTCCAATCACAATCACAAAATACAATCCAATCATATCATCATTAATAGTGGGTGTTTTATGTGAAGCTAATAATTACAATCTAATTTTTGTTTTCAAAAAACATAAATTAAAAATATAATCACCGTGTGATTGTATTCAAAAAATATGAATACAATATTTTCTTTTTTCAAAAAACGCAGATTAAATGGAGTGTAAAAAAACATAATCATTAAAAAAAAAAATCACTGTGTGATCAAAATGGAGAGTAAAAAAACACAATCACAAATTAAGCTAATTAAAAAAAAGAAATGAAGTCAATTGATAATTAAAAAACACAATTATTATTTTTTTTAAAAAGCATAGTGAGTTAAAAACCCAATCACAAATTAAGCTAACTAATAGTTAAAAAGCACAACTTTAAAAAAAAAATACAATGAGTTAAAAAAACCTAATCACAAAATATAATTTAATCATCATCATCCATAGTGCGTAATTTATGTGAGCCTAATGAATACAATTTGATTGTTTTTTTCAAAAAACGTAGATTGAAAAAACAATCACCGAATTAAAAAATAAATTACGTCCAATCACAATCACAAAATACAATCCAACCATATCATCATTAATAGTGGGTATTTTATGCGAACCTAATAAATACAATCTAATTTTTGTTTTCAAAAAACATAAATTAAAAGTACAATCACCATGTGATTGTATTAAAAAAACATGAATACAATATTTTCTTTTTTCAAAAAAACACATATTAAATGGAGTGTGAAAAAATGCAATCATTAAAAAAAATAAAATCACCGTGTGATCAAAATAGAGTGTAAAAAAATACAATCACAAATTAAGTTAATTAAAAAAAAAAACAATGAAGTCAATTGATTTTTAAATACAATTTTTTTTTTCTTTTTCCAAAAAAGCATAGTGAGTTAAAAACTCACTCACAAATTAAGCTAATTAATAGTTAAAAAGCACAACCATTTTTTTAAAAAAGAATACAGTGAGTACATTATGTGAATC